GTTGACGGGAAAGCATATATGTCATCCTTGATTACTATCCATGTATTCAGGTCCAATAATTACCTTCTTATGTGCAATAGTTTCATTGAAATTCTTCATCAATGAAAAAGCTAAGAATTCCCCATCAGCTTTACACCACCATCTCTTGCAAACAGAATATGAAAATTAAAATCGACATACTAGAAGTACGAAACCAATCCATATGTTTAACAAAATCAATTTCAAGATCATTGTTTACACTGCCAATGGGAAATATGCTACATACACGAGTTTCAATTGAAACTGTTCCTTAACAGGTAAGCTCACTATGCCACCCCTGCCATGCAAGCAGTTCCAGAGATTTTGACAAGGCACCAGAGCCCAGTAGGTCAACCTGCAACAGATCTGATAACGCATAGCCAAAAGAATTGTTTCTTGATCTAATTGTCAGATAAGCCTGCTAAAAAACAGCTGAACTGATCGTCTAGCAAACAATTTTTGCAACTTCCTTTAAGTGCATGGCTCTAACCTCAACCACATCAACCCATTAGTATAAGAGAAAGCAAAACTCAAACAGTTACTGAGCACTATTCACTTATCTTAGCCAAACAATCCACCAGTTCCCAACACCCCTTGCTTCAGTTCCTTTCTTCGCTGCTCCTCAAGAGGATCTGGACTCTTCATTACTCTTCGCACACGCCTAAAAACAACACAAAGAACATCAAATAACAGTCCAAGGAACTAACCGAACTGCCATATGAAAATTAGCACTGAAAGGAGATTTACCTATCTTGTGCATGCTGTGCAGGGAAAGTAGGCATGAATTCTTTAGACTTGGGGAGAGGAACTTCACGAAACCACTCATGGTTCAACGCAGCATCGGCAGATAGTCTCTGCAATATGTCATATAAACATCAATATCAAAAGAGGTAAAAACAACATAAAAAAAATTTAGAAGTTCCCAAATGTTATTGCCATCACCTTTGCAGGATCATAAGTCAGAAGCTTATTCAACAGGTCAAGGCCAGACTCTGATAGATCTGGTTTTCCCATGAAGGATGTTGTAGGGCTTTGAAATTTATTTCTTAAATTATTAAACCTGTTACAAACAAATCAAATGGTTAGTAGAAACATGAAAATATTTCTCCACCATAGATTGTCATCAGAGGAGGCCAGAAAGCCAAACCAGAATCACCCAAAGCTGGAAGCCTGGGAAAACAGCGGCAAAAATAAAAACATGAATCTCTGGCCGACAAGAGAAGCAATAGAATATAGAAGAAGATAATACTTACTGATGCTTTACAAAGTTGACCTTCACCCCAGGAAGCTTGGAAAACCCTGGCCAAATCGTCTCATTAGGGGTGCCAAGAATTCTGAATATCTGGTAAGAAAAACCACAGAAGTATATTAAGAAGACTTCAAACTCATGGTAAATGTCATCAAAAATCAAGTAATTCTCCATCAGCAGCTAGAAAGATACCTTGTCAATTTGATCAACTTCTGATTTCCCATTGAAGAGTGGTTCTTTGCATAGCATCTCGGCCATGATACAACCAAGTGACCACATGTCAATTGCAGTAGAATATTGCTTGGCTCCCAACAGAAGTTCTGGCGCCCTGTATGCATAAAAAACTAATCAATCACTGGCTAAATAGAAGCCAGCTAGGCAAGAACTCAATAGAAACCTTCATCTACATACAGACACACGGCAATAGAAGTATGAGTATCTACTTAAATCTTTTCAGATTAATGAAGAATAAAAAATGAAACTCACCTGTACCACAAAGTAACCACCAAATGAGTGTATGGTTTCAAGGGGCTCCCATATTGACGAGCTAAACCAAAGTCACAAATCTTCAACTCACCTTGGTTGTTTAGAAGCAAATTTGAAGTCTTCAAATCTCGGTGAAGGACCCAATTATCATGAAGATACTTGACACCATGCAAAAGCTGGAGCATAAGACATTTGACTTCACTTTGGGTAAATGGTTTTTTCATTGTCTCCATTAATGCCTTCAGATCATGTTCCATGTACTCCATCACCATAAAAATACTGTCAAGACTGCTTCCTACAACTACTTCTTTGACATCTACAATTGAGGGGTGATGAAGAGAAAGAAGAATGTTAATCTCCCTGAGAGATGTCAGGGGAAATCCTTCTCGTTCCTTCTCCATCTTAACCTTCTTTAGTGCAACAATTTCTCCTGTCTTCTTATCTTTAGCTCTGTAAACAACCCCATAAGTGCCTTCATCTATCCTGTTAAGCCGCTCAAATTCATCGACGCTTCTACACCCCTGCAGCATGTTTACGCTCCTTTGTGGAGGAAGCACAGCCTCCGGTGTACCACGAGAATCATGTTCATCTTCAGATTCTGTATCTGAGCTAACACTAGTCCCATCATAATTGCGGTCCTTATCCACATCCATCGAGTCATTCTTATCTAATTCATTGCCCTGGTAACTCTCTCTGCTGCAAGACCTAATATGTTCATCAGAGTCTGAAGACCTCGTTCTATTTCCTCCGGAGCCTTCTCTCTTGAGCTCCTCATATTCTGGAGTTAGTGATTTCCTGCGTCCACCCATTTCAGCTGACTGGGAAACTGCTCGTCGCTTTTTCAATAGGGGCGTATCATCACCTGAAATCTCACCTTCATCAGCTGGAGAGTCAGCATCAGTTGCCCATCGAGATGATCTTATAGTCGGCACGGGCACATATTCCTCATCTTCTACTTTCCTGGTTTCCTGACTGGGCAATTGCTCCTCATCAACAGGTGGAGAACATATGTCAACTGGAGATTCATGAGATGCATCCATAAGTAAACCAAGTGCTGTATTTGTATTACTTGGGGATGGCTCCATACTGTGAACATTATTAGTGTTCAACAGAGAGACCTGCTCAACCCTTTCAGGGGGGAAATTAGCCAACTGGCCAGATGACTTTGGCAATGGAGGCGGAGGAGGTAGCTTAGCAGCTGCTGGTGAATTTCTACTCTTTGACATTCTATTCACTTCCTTATCTTCCCTATCCCATATAATTGGAGAGAATTTTCGTTTCTTGCTCTGTACAGAAGACTGATTCCCATTGGCGGCATTCTTGGTCCTCTGGTCTGACTCAATAGCCCCATCAGACCCACTCTCGCTAGACAATTCCCCAGGCTCTCGGTCAACAGCCCTGACCCTAAGCCCACTTCTCCTCATTCCACCACCATCACCATCACTACTACCAGAATCACTCCTGCTTGACCCGGACCTATAACTGCCATTTATCATATCCCTTTCTTTTATAGGCTCTCGGTCAACAGCTCTGACACCAAGCCCACCACTTCTCCTCTCTCCACCACCATCACCATCACTACTACCAGAATCACTCCTGCTTGACATGGACCTAAAACTCCCATTTGTCAAATCCCTTTCCTTTACATCCTTCTGTCTCAACCTACCCCTATCTCGACCACTCCTGTCATGAACTCGATCCCTATCAAAATCCCGATCCTCAGACCTAATTCTTTCGTAATCCCCCTTGGAGTAACCAAGCTCCCTCCGTGAAACCTCAAACTCAGCTTCACGCCCCCTAAATTCATTATCCCTGTAACCACCATGTCTTCCAGCAGCCATGTAAACGTCTGTATCAAAGAAAACCCTAAATTCACCTATAAACCCTAACCCTAATTTCACAAATAAAATCAGCAAACCCAACAAACCCTAGCTCGATGAAAAATCGAGTTATTTGAAAACTCAATAGCAAATCTGGTAAAAACTAATCAAAATATATAAAAATCAATTGAAATTTTTTTCCCCAATTTTTTTTCCCTTTTTATCGAATAGCTTGAAAAATTCTAAGACACGACAGATAGAGACAGCGAAGAAGCGAAACCCCTAGGAATTGAATACTTTAGTGTATTTAGTTGGTTGTTTACGTTGATGATATTGTAGTCACCGGTAATGATCAAGATGGTATCACTAATTTGAAGCAAAATCTATTTCAACATTTCCAGACTAAAGACCTCGACAGACTAAAGTATTTTCTTGGTATTGAGGTTGCTCAATCTAGATCAAGTATTGCTATTTCTCAATGCAAGTATGCCTTAGATATTCTTGAAGAGACAGAAATGATGTGATGTAGACCCATTGACACTCTTATGGATTCAAATGTTAAACTCCTTCCAAGATAGAGGGAGCCACTCAGTAGTCCTTAAAGGTATAGATGGTTGGTTGAAAAGTTGAATTATCTCACAATGACTAGACCTGGCATCACTTTTCCTGTGAGTATCGTAAGTCGGTTTAAGACTTCCCCTTGTGATAGTCATTGGGATGCAGTTGTTCGTATTTTGCGATATATAAAGTCAGCTCCGAATAAAGGACTACTCTTCGAGGATCAAGGCTGTGACCATATCACTGGATATACAGACGTTGATTGGGCAGGATCACCCTTTGATAGACGTTCTACATCCAGATATTGTTTCCGTAGGAGATAATTTGGTATCGTGGAAGAGTAAGAAACAGAGTGTGGTTGCTCGATCTAGTGCCAAAGCTGAATATCGAGCAGCGGTTGTAGCAACTTGTGAGCTAGTATGGGTCAAATAGTTGCTAAGAGAACTAAAGTTTGGAGAAATCGGTCAGATGGAACTTGTGTGTGATAATCGCGCATCAAATCCTGTGTTTCATGAGAGGACTAAGCACATTGAGATTGATTGTCACTTTGTCATAGAAAAGATACTCTCAGGAGATATTATTACAAAATTTGTGAAGTCAAGTGATCAACTTGCAGATATCTTCTCCAAGTCCCTCAGCGTTCCTCGTATTAATTACATTTGTAACAAGCTAGGTACATATGATTTGTATGCACCAGCTTGAGGGGGAGTGTTAGAATGGGTATAGGTATATACAATCCTACTTAGAATAGGAATAGGAATTGTATGTAGTATCCTACTTGGTAAAGGATTGTATTATAATGTCTATAAAAAGGGACTCTGTGTAATAATGTAGATACACAATTCAATAATATTTTTCTCCTATATTTCTCACATGATCCATGTAAACTTTATACCATAGTTTACCTAAATTAATAGTAGAGTTCAATTTTACAAAGAAACAAAGAGGAAAATAAAAGAAAAGGGAAAACTTGCAATATTTTCATGACAAGGAAACTAAAAATAAATAAACATAAGGAAAAGAGACATTCCAATGAAAAACTTTTGAGCAATACTAACCTTCATTGTCTGCTCAGAACTCATATGGAAGTATCTGGATGCACGCTTTTCAAGCTCAATTGTACTTAAAGGATGAGGGGGGTATTTGAGTTTCTCCTGTTGTTTGACCTTGGTAACCTTTCCAAAACAACATAATTAAGTGAGTTTTGCAGCCTCAAATTTCTACTCTATAATTAGGCTTAGCTATGAGAATTGGCTTTTTGGAGCTCACTGTTGCAATGGGTTCCTGGATGCACATCTCATAAATCGTTACTCCACATGTGTAATCAAACAGATGACCACGCCTGCCAAGTCAAACCATTATAGGTACCTTGACCTTCTATTTCAGAAATAATTTCATGATGGAACCAAGTGCAACATTACATCCAGTTAAAGGTAGCAGTGCCTTCATCCGAGTTGTGAGTACAGTTGATTGTCCAAAATTCTTCAGGTTCATGTGCTTGTATCTCCCAATACCGCTCCACAACAAAGCCAAGTGTAGGGAACTGCAGCAAAAACATATGGAGTACGATGCAAACTTATACACCTCAGACTGTAAAATAAAATTCACTTTTTGAAAATGCAATATATTAGTTACCTGGCAGGGACCATAGCTTAAGACAAGATTTCTATCATCTGTAGCAAAATCAAGGACAAATGCACCTCTCAGAAGCATTGTCTGAAATCTTGTGAAAGAAGCTCCAATACGAAGATCTATCTCCTGCAAATTCAAATAGCAAAATGCAGCAAGGAACCAAATCAGGCCATTCTATCATACTTGACCAAAAGGCTCCACCTATCAAAATATAATGGTTAGTACTTTTTTTATTATTTAAGAATGTTACTGGAGTTTAATTGCTACAGGAACATGAAGGTCAAACTTTACTTGGCTGTCTCAGATCTAAAGAAGTTTTTCACTATCTTAAAATAAGAATGACTTGAGCAACGGAACTCACTTGCCGAACATCTACAGCATCAGAAAATAACTGATTTGGCTGAACAAGGGTCTGCACTGATTGGTGAATTTCCCTGGTGATCTCAAAAGTATTTTTCAGGAAGTACAATGACAATTCATAAATGGTACATAAAAACTTAGTATGGAACAGAAGATGTCAACTAGCTGGCAGAACCTGTCAATTAAGGCAGAGAACCGAGCTCTCCACACATTAAGGTTATGATTCGCTTGTCTACATACATCCAACACTTCAAATGCAATGTTTTCTCCTTCTCTATCACAATCGAGCCACAATATAATCCACTGACAACTTCTGGCTTCTGCCTCCAGTGTCCTTTTGATATCCAACTTATCCTACAAATTACCAGAAATATTTTAGGCCATATTTTCATATGCTTTTACAAATGATGTCTCAATTTCAATCACAGCAATGTTTTGATATACCAAAAGAGAAAAATTGTATTTGGTTTTCACTTTACAAAACAACAACATACCAGTGTAATCCCACATCTGGGTTCCGGGGAGGGTGGTGTGTACGCAGCCTTTCCCCTACCTTGTGAAGGTAGAGAGGCGGTTTCCAATAGACCCCGGCCCAAGTTCACTTTACAAAACACAAAAAGGGAAAACACAAGTATAACAATATTTGACAGGAATACAAAAAAGAAAAAAAAATTGGTTATCTTGAAGCGTTTTATACTGGCGGTATGTAATTTGTGTCTAGAACTTTTGTTTAGGAGGAGGGGGAAGCACATTTGGAAGGTTACGCCATTGTGTATATTTGGAGAGACAAGCTAGATGAATACTTGACGAGCAGAAAGTGAAAGATTAGGAGTTTTTCACTATCTTATTTGAACTTTTAGTGTAAAGAATATATAGTATAGATAGTTGGATGTACTTTTGGAAGCTTTAAAAGCCGAAAAGATTGTAATCTTTTATAGGCCAATTAGTCTAACTGGGAGTGTTTACAAGATTGCAGAAAGTACTCACACAAAGGCTCAAGGGTGTAATGGGCAAACCTGTTTCCAATCATCAAAATGCTTTCATTAAGGACAGGCAGATCACAGACGCTGCTCTAATTGCCAATAAAGTTTTGGATTGGAGAAGGAAGAGTAAGAAACCTGACATCCTATGCAAACTGCCAAAACAATTGGGAGAATCGGGCATAAAAGATTTAGCTCTTCACAACAAATGCTTACTCATGAAATGGTTATGGAGGTACACTCAAGTGGATCAAAGTCTATGGAAGTAAGTAATCAAGGCAAAACATGGAGTCTAAAATCATTGGTGCTCCAAGCTGTCCAGATCCCCTCATGGTGTAGGCCTATGGAAGAGTATATGCAAGCTTAAAGATGAGTTCTTTCAAAACACTAAGTTGGCAGGATGAAATGGTATACATATCAGGTTTTAGGAGGATAGGTGGCTGGACATTATCATTCTGATGGAGAAATTCCCAAGTCTATTTCAAAGTTCCAAAAAAGCTTGCTAGTCTTTCCTTCCATATTACCCAACATATACGAGTTGGCACTATATTCCACCATCTTCACTGATTTGCACATCCCCCAAACCCCCCGGCTCAACAGTAGATCCTTCATTGTAAACAGAATGATAAAATAGACTATGAATAGGTTTAAAACCAACAATCAGGTCTGTCTTGCAATTGGACATTGTTGAAAAAGGTGGTTGGTACTTTCCTCATCACTGTTGCGCATGAAACATCGGCTACAAATTAATACACCTCTCCTCTAAAGTCTAAAGGTTGTTTTGTGTGAGGCAAGCATCAAGTGTGGTTAACCACATGAAACAACTAACCTTATAGGGGCTTTTGACTTCCATATTCGTCTCCAAAGCCAGCTAGTAGTGTTGACCCCCTCACTGTTGAGAATCTTATAACAAGAGTTCACAGAGGAAACTCTCTTCGAGTCCATTTGAGTGTATCAGAGACCTCATCATTCAAGACCACCCTCTCCAAATCATTCAAAAGTGTATCAATTCTAGGAATATCCCATTGAAACAATTTCTAAGAAAATCAAGACACCCGTTACTTCCAATCAAGAAATCTGAAACCAACTACCAGTATTTAAGGTGAAGGCATAGAGGTCCAGAAACTAAGACATTGGTGGAGTATGCCCTATCCATTCATCTAGCCAGAACCTTGTATCTCTTCCATTACCAACCTTTATCCTTGTGTAACAACAAAACCCTCTTTTGTTTTTGATTAGCTCCCTATGCTTTAAGGCCTATTGTTGTTGGAGCTAACATATCTTTTGTAACTTTGCATCTTCTTGATGCCAGCTATACAAAACCTTACTTCATCACAACAACAACAAAAAAAAGGCCACAAGCTAGATATATGCTTCCATGGACAAAAAACCATGGGAAGAATTTACTGGGCTAGAGAACCAAGAAGATTGTGCTCCATAATTATCTGAAACAACTCTTCTCCATAGGTCCCCCCCCCCCCCCCTCTTTTTCTTTTTAATCTCCACAACCACTTCATTTATAAGCTATTGTTATGCAAATTCAAGTACTTGATACCAAGCCCACATCTTCTTTTATCTATATTGTCACCTTATCCCATTAAACCAAGTGAAAAGCCCTCATTTCTCTGTTGTCACCCCATAAAAAATTCCATCTGACCCTGTCCGAATTCATTCTCACACTAGCTGGCATTAGGAACAATGACATAAGGAATGTAGGGAGGGAGTCAAGAACCCTGTTATATGAACTACCCTGCCCCCAAGAGATAGGTATTGCCTTTTCCATATAGCCAATTTCTTTTCACAACATTCTTCCATTTTCTCCACACCGGTTTAGACTTGTACCTAGCACCCAATGGCATACAAAGATATTTTGTGGGTAGTTCTCCAAGTTGGAAACCCAGCGTATTATCCCAAATCATGTATGTTATGCACTTCATTAACCGCAAAGATAGAGCTTTTACTCAGGTTTGTCTTTAAGCCAAAGATCATTTCAAGTAATAACAGAATTATCCTAATATGCCTCAATTGTGATCCGCAGCACCACATAGAACGAGTGTATCATCAGCATACTATATGTGAGTGATTTCCAATCCTGAGTAGCCATTTGTCCAAAGCAAAAAACATTGATCCAATGAAAAAAGAACTTATTTAATGCATTCAATTCTTGCAAAAAAAATCTAGGGCTTCTTCTTTGCAATCTTTTTACTCCCTCTGATTATGCTATTCTATACCTATTTTGAAGCCAAGTCCAAATTCAACGGTGAGCATTGCAACTGAATTTGTTTCACGACGGAGACAAAATCTATCCATGGGAGTGCTAGGACCTCCAACAAATTCTTATTGGCATGGCTTGACATTTTTACGGATATTGTGTTTCAATTACCAAGGACTGGTAGAGGTAGAGAATGTATTTGTATTGTGGTTAATAGATTCTTAAAGATGACACACTTTAATCCTTTCCACAAGAGTGATGATGCTACACGTGTTGCTTATTAATTTGTTGAGCATTGCATGTAATTTCTTAGTTATTTTGGATTTGTTATTTTCCAACCCAGGTCACCCTCAAACCTAGGTGGTCAATAGGACTTCGGGCAAATATGTTAAAGTTTATGGGTAAAAGGAAGTATGCTTCTTGGAAGGAACATATGCCTTTAATTGAATTTGCTTACAATAGGACTTTACACTCTTCTATTGCCATATCTCATTTTGAAGTAGGAAACTACAACTCTCCATGTCATATGTGGCTGAAGTCTCTTACATAAAAAACAAATCCTACCTTTTCTATTCTTGTTTTTCACATGGTATCAGAGCTAAAGGAAGAGTTTTATCAAATTTTGAATTTTGCTTTCCATTTTCCAGGTTAAATTTTGATATAAAATAATACATCAATGGGACATAATTGATGCAGTTTTAATACAGGCGTGACTTCAGCAATACATCAAAGCAAATGACCTTTCAGAAATTGATTAAGTTCAGATCAACTTTACCATATTCTGCAAATTGAATCATTTACATTGAAAAACCTCAGTTTGCAATCAACATTAGCAATTGGATTGGATTCTCACGCATACATGAAGTTCAATATCTTATTCAACAAGTAACCAAATTACCAGTAAACAAATATTCGGCAGGAGATAAACTTAAAAGGTAAATAGGATAAAGAGGTACCTCAGGGACAAACTTCCGAACAGGCGCATTATAGAGGTCGAGCGGGTCACACGAGTGCCATTTCCGGTAACGCTCGTCAAACTCAAGCTCCATGAGATGGCCTGTGACGGATGTGAACAGCATCTGGCAAGGCTGGTTCCGAATGGTGTAGTTGAACTCAAAGATTTTGTTGTACCTGGAACGTCCGTCTCTTACTCTCATGCCACCCGGTTGGTTCTTCGATAGTATCCCCGACACTGCCTTGGCCACCGACGGCTTTTCAGCCACATTTAGTACCCTTACCACCCGCCCTCCGCCTCCGACCATTTTCCGACAAAACGGTTTTTGGAATGCCCTTCTCTTCTATCGTCGCTGCTTAAAATAATTTCCCGCCTTAGAGCCGTGCACACTGCATCCAAAGCATTTTGTATTCAGTACTTTTTAAAAATTTATTTGCACCCTATTCTCTTACCATTTACCCCCTTAACCTAATCATTTATGTAAAAAAATAATATATATATATATATATACATATTTCTACTATATAGAAATGTGATGAGGACAATCAAGGGTAAATCAGTCATTTAACTTCATATATTTATACTTCTTGCTACACGAGTCACTCTTGTTTTTATTATTTATTTAATTAAAATAGAGACTACTTTCTTCACACTAATGGTGGTAGCAATTTCTTCTTGATTCTCTTCATTTATTTTTTTCAATTTAATAGCTGAATTCATAGATGTTTTTTCATACTTAACCTATTTCTTTGGCATGATATTTATTTTTTTTCAGACTTTCGAATGCTATGTTTTCCTTTCTTTCATCGTCTCAACTGGGTGATTCAACTTTAGGTATGCTTTTATCTTAGTGTTATATGATATTGAAAACTTATATGGGGTATTAGTGTTGATATTGAAAGTTAAATGGGATAGTTATTTCCTTCTTCTTTTTCTAATGCTTTTTAATCATTTAGTACTTTATTTGATCAAACTAACAAGAACAATGAAGAAATAGCTAACAACATACTGGAAATATAATGATGAATAAAATGTTATATTTCAGGTGGTTGGACTCGCCAAACTAAAAATATTACCGCAATCATAACAAATTTTCCAAAATACAATATTTTTGGAGGAGCAACATAGGTTTATAGTTGTAATTAGAGCTGTCAAAAAGGGTCGGCCCAGCCCCACCGGGCCCAAGCCTCGAGGGCCAAGGAATTTGAAGGGCTAGGGCGGGCCGGCCCTTCATTTGGTAGGGTCTGAAAATGCTCAACCCAACCCAACCCTAGAAGGGCCGAGGGCTAGGGCGGGCTAGCCATTCTGTTTTTATTTTTAATTTTTTCTTTTCTTTTCAAACTTATAATTCTAGAACATCAAAAAAATGAGAAGATTTTCAAATCAAATATGACAAACAATGATGTTGTTTCAATAACACTAACAAAAATCTAGTGCAATTAGCATGTATCTCGTATACTGGATATGTGAGTGAGATAAGAGAGTGACAAGCAAGATAGGAGGGAGGCGAGGGCATGAGATTTGTATATGTATCCTAGATACATGCAAATTAACTTGGATAAAGTGTATCTAGAACAAATTAACTCAATTTTGAGTCCATATATTTTGAGATACTATCTGGGTACGAAGATTTATAATATTACAACATAGCGTGTATTCAAATAATTAGATTATATACTAGTGAGATTATTGGAAATTACTCTTAAATAAAAAGTTTTGGCCCATGGGCCGACCCCGGCCCAGCCTCGATCAAGCCTCAAGGGCCAAGGGCTTATATGGGTCGGGCTTATAAGCCTTAGTTTTAAATGGGCTTGAAAAATCATATCCCAACCCTACCCCAATAATAGGTAGGGTTGGGCTGGCCCCATGGGGTAAGCCCATTTTGACGGCTCTAGTTGTAATTTCATTTGCTCTAGGATTCTTTTTGAATTTTGAAAAATGGCTCTTGTGACATTTTGGAAAAAGGAATATATACGTACTTGGTTTCAAATTAATATTTGTGACATTTTGGAAAAAGGAACAAGTTCGACATTTTCCATTTCGATGTGATACAATTACTTCAACTTCGTTAACTGTTCAAATTTTGAATTTGGTGATCAATCAAATATATGAATATAAGGTCTCAATTTATATGACGTTAAGACATAGATTATTAAATTGTACAGTTCTAAATTATATGCTCTGTCAAATACTGTTATATAAAATGAAGCAAAGGAAGTAATAAAGTAGGAATATTATTATACTATTAAAAATAATATCGTATGTGTTATCATTTTACAAAACCTTTAAATGTAATTATGTTCCTTGTGTCTCTAGGAGTCAGAAAAGGATATTGGAGCAGAGTACAAAAATAAAGTAGGAATTGTATAAAAAGATTCCAAGTATTCTTGAACAATTATTAGATTAGCTAAGAACTTTGAAAAAGTGACCTCTAAAAGTTCTAGCACGAGACTTTCATTTTATTTTGAAGATATGGTACTTTGTTTGATTGATAGTTTTTGACATTGTAGAGCTATAGAGTAATGAGTTGCTAGAGGAATTGTAAAGATAACTTTAAACTGCTATTTGAATTATTTTAAGGATTATAGGTTGAAATATGTATAGTCTATTTGTTGTGCTTGGAAGGTCTTAGATTACCTATTGTTATTTTATTTGTATGAAATTTATAGTACTTTCATACAACTTTAAGTTTAGTTTTAAAAAAATTGAGATGCAATTTCTAAATTTAATATATCGACTATATAAATTACCTAAGTAGCTAATTTGTCGATATTAACTTTTGGTTACAACATTTTTGAAATTTCCTTGGTTGCCTATAAAATATAATGTGGGTCTTCAAGTGTTGACAAAAATTGAGATTTTTTGTCGTAACAGATGGAACCGATTATGGAGTATGAGACAATTCCTTTGATGAATACACGGACTAATATTTACTTATTTAAAACTGTCTGTTATTACAAATATTTGCAACATGTACTGCTGCTAATTAATCTTAGCATTTTATTAAAAAATTAATGATTTCCTAAAAAAAATTCTTTAAATGGTCAAATTTCATAAGGATTGATGTTCTAATTAAACATATTCTTGAAAATATCATTTGATATTGTTGATCATTCCTCTTCACACCGCAATACTAATGGTGGGAAGAGGAACCAATACCGCAACAATAATCACAACAACAATGGTGGTCGTGGAGGCAACAAAGGTGGTAGCAGCGATGGGGGTAAGGCTGGAGGTGGTGGTCAAATGGGAGGCGGCAATAGCCGCGGTGGCGGAAAATAGCCAGCAGGTCAGCATCCGCCACCCAATTCTCCATGGGCTGGAAGTCAGTCGTGGCCTTGGATGGTACCGTGGGCTCCCTGGGCTATACCTCCTTGTCCATATCCGTCAAACTCATGGACAAGGCCCAATTATGGACAGTAGTCGAAACAACATCCTGGTATACTTGTTCCCAGACCGCAGCAGGCCTACACGGCAGCTCCATCTCCAACCGACATTGAAGCTGCAATGCATACTCTTGGAATCACTTCTTCGAATGTGAATTGGTACATGGATACCGGTGTCACTTCTCATATGACATCCGCCCAAGGTAACCTCACGTCTTATTTTAATATGAGCAATAAACGTAGTATAATAGTTGGAAATGGTCAATCAATTCCAATTCATGGTTATGGTCACACTAAATTATCTTCGTTGTGTCCTCCATTATAATTAAACAATGTTCTTCATGCCCCTCACCTTGTTAAAAATTTGGTGTCAGTTAGAAAATTTACAACTGATAACTCTGTTTCTGTTGAATTTGATCCGTGTGGGTTTTCTGTGAAGGATTTTTGGACGGGGAGACCGGTAATGAGGTGTGAAAGTCGGGGCAAGCTGTATCCCATCACTACTCCAACCACTTCTCCATCTACTTTTGCTGCTTTGGCACCATCCCTTTGGCATGATCGTCTGGGTCACCCGGGAACACCTGTTTTGAACTCTCTTAGGAAGAATAAATTGATTAAATGTAATCAAATTAAAGACACTCGTAATTGTCATTCTTGCCCTCTTGGAAAACATGTTAAGTTGCCCTTTTATCCTTCAAATTCTCGCACTGTTATGCCTTTTGATATTATCCATAGTGATTTTTGGACGTCCCCTGTTTTGAGTTCATCGGGTCATCGATATTATGTCTTGTTTGTAGATGCTTATTCAAAAAATTTGTGGACTTTTCCTTTATCGCACAAATCACAAACGTTTTCCACATTTTTGAGTTTAAAGAAATTTATTCGAACCCAATTTAAGCGGGACATAAAGAATATACAATGTGATAATGCCACAGAATTTTATAATGGCCCATTTTGGGATTTTTGTAAAGCAAATGGTCTTTCATTTCATCTTTCACGTCCTCATACACCCCCTCAAAATGGGACAGCTGAAAGACAAATTCGTACAATCAACAACATTGTTCATACCTTATTGGCCCATGCTTCCCTTCCTCCTTCCTTTTGGCATCATGCGTTGAAAATGGCGACTTACCTTCTCAATATCCTTCCTCATAAGCTATTAAATTATCAATCTCCTCTTCACATCCTTTATCAAAAAGATCCGTCTTATTCTCATCTTCGGGTGTTTGGGTGTTTATGTTATCCTCTTATTCCATCTACTACCATAAACAAACTCCAACCCCGGTCAACTCCTTGTGTTTTTTTGGGGTATCCGTCAAATCATCGTGAGTATAAATGCTTTGATTTGTCATCTAGAAAAATCATCATTAGCCGTCACGTAATATTTGATGAGACACAGTTTCCCTATGCAAAGTCTCATACTCCTCAAACTCACACTTATAGGTTTCTAGATGATGGGTCATCTCCCTACCTGGTCCATCATTTCACTACCTCTCCTAATCCACAAGTTGCATCTGTTCATAATGCACTCGCACCCACCTCACCTAGCCTAGCGAGTGATTCCGTTGTGCCCAGCGTGCAACACGGCCTTCCCCAGTCAACTACACCGAGCCCATCTACTCCTTCCACTCTCTTATCCAACTCTCTTCCTCGCCCCACTCCAATCGCTCCCCCACGTCTGCCCACGGGTCCAGTTACTAGAAGTCAACACGGGATTTCAAAGCCTAAAAAGTCTTTCAGCCTTCTTACATCAACATTTAAATCATCCCTCCCTCGTAACCCTGTGTCTGCTCTTCATGACCTGAATTGGAAATTGGCTATGGATGATGAATATAATGCTCTTATTGAAAATAAGACTTGGGAGTTGGTTCCTCGTCCTCCAAATGTTAATGTAATTATGTCTATGTGGATTTTTGCTCAT